AATTTGTTTCCAAAACCCCGCAGTCAGGACATGTTATATTGTATTTAGATAGAAGCTAGCGAGCTAACTTCCTGCTAACTTCTAACTCCGTTAAATGTCATAAATTACGATTTCATGGATGCCTGGATGTTAAACTTAATTGTTACACCTGGTAGAGCAGAACGCTGATCATTTTATTAAAGATGAAAGACTTTTAGACAGTTTTTCAACTCTCAGTAATGCCATAGTGATCGTTTGATATATGGACCTGCAGCGGAGTTTAGGCCCAGACACGGCTAGTGACGTCAGACTTAACGACTGGATTTAAGTCGTGCAACAAACAACATTCTTAAATTGTTGGTGTATCAATTTTTAGTTTTAAATGTGTGGATCACATACAGGACAATGATGAATGTTAATACATTTACTGTAGAATTATATTGCTGTGGCTTCAGCATTTAGACACACCAGAGTACCGTATTTTCTGCACTATAAGGGGCACTTAAAATCCTCTAACTGTCTCAAAAATTGACAGTGCACCTTATAATCCGGTGCGCCTTATGTATGAATTCTGATTGTGCTTACTGACCTTGAACCGGTTTTATGTGCTACATGGTGCTCAAGAATCTGTCAAAAATTGTTTTAGTATGACTTGGGTAAGCTATAAGCTATAGCCGCACCGCTTGATGGATTGTTGGAGTATTACGGCTACCATAGTCAGGAGCCTTGCGGCGTAATCTGGGTCCAAAACTCCGTCTGCTTCAGGTCCCAAAGTCAAACGAACACTGCGGCATCACTGAGAGTTAAAAACTGTCTAAATTCTTTCATCTTTAAAAAAAATGATCAGTGTTTCTGCTTTACCAGGTGTAAACAGTTAAGTTTAACATCCAGGCATCCATGAAAACAGAATTTAGTCAGTTTAACAGAGTTAGAAGTTAGCAGGAAGTTAGCTCGCTAGTTTCTGCCTAAGCATGATATAGCATGTTCTGACTGAGAGATTTCTGTAGAAATTCAAACGTACAGCTCTGCTATCACTTCCAACATAAATGAAGACAGAAAACTAAACAGCAGTGACGTTTGTAGGGTTACTGAAGTTGGACTAGCTGGTATATAATGATGTGCTACGTGATCGCTAGTGACACAGCTATGTTAGCATAACATTAGCACAGTGAAGCTGGAGGATGAATGCTAACTTTTTTCCACTCGATAAAAGTTAACATGAGGGTTCCTGATGGTTAGGGACAAATGCAATCGCATGGCAGGATGCTGTAAACGGACCAAACTCCAGTCAGGAGAACAACTGAGATAATCCATCCACAACACAAGGTTAATCATTAATATACTGCAACAACATGGGAATAGAGCAGCTGCGAGAGAATTCAACATTAATGAATCAATGGTACAGAAGTGGAGGAAGCCAGAAGAATGAGTTGAGTGAAGTTTGACATAGCTGACTGTTTTGTTTTGCTTAATCTGCCTTATAATCCAGTGCGCCTTATGATATTTTGAAAATTTTGATTTTCATTCATTTAGTTTGTTTAACATGGCTAAGTGCACATGTACCGTACAAGTTACAACAAAATGTGTAAAGTTTTTTGTCTGTGTCATCTATTCTCCTATTTATGTGGACCTTGGCAGTACATATGTAGCACTGGTGCTCTGCTCTCACACGGGCTTTAGCAACTTCCATTCATTTATGGGGATTTGAAATGCTGCAGCATTCTGTGAATAGTTTGCATATTTTAGACATTCATTGTGATCAAGGAGTACATCTAAAGCTCAAAATAGATGTGTTTAGTTATTTTTTTGTTTCTTCTCACATTTCTCATTCATCTTGTCATGATCCCTTTGATTTACCTCGTGACATTCGTGTCTTACGTGCGTCTCTAGTTTGACAATAACTGTACTTCATAAAGTAGAGATGCATCTTGAGCAACTACCAGAGTGAATTCTTTTGTCTGTTTAAATTTTTTGTCATTATATTTTCAGTACATTTTGTTCAGCTGAGCTATTAATACTCTATAGTACTGGATTTAAAAAAAAATTCTACTTCAGTCTACCGGAGTTTCTTTGACATCTAATAACTACACAGTGTTCACATCGATCATCCAAAATGCAAATGGTTCCCTTGCAGACCTGGGTTAAAATAGTACCACATGTTCCCTGAAGAAGTTTAAACACCATAGACTTTAACATGTAGACTTTAACAACCCAGGATTAGCAGCACATCATCAACTCACTTTGTACTGCATTATACATTTTGGACATCTCAGATGTAAGAAAATATAAGAATATAAGAAAAGAAAATATTGTGATTCAAAATGTAACAGTACCTGCCATGGCTAAAATCTTGTGAGACTGAACACATATTTTTAACCTAGGCCTTTTCCCTAGTCAAGCAGTGGCAAAGCAGCAGCAGCAGCAGCAGCAGCAGAACAGAGAAGTCTGGGTTGAGTTCAGTTTAGTTGCTGTATTTTTTGTTATTGTTTTTATTGTGTTCCTCAAGAAAAGTCCAAGAGCAGAGATGAAAACTCACAGACACTGGAACTCCATGTATTTTCCATCTCTACGTTTTCACAACTGTTCTGAACACAACCCTGGAAAAGACATTTTCAGAAATAACAGAGGACACATTGGAAGAAGAAAAAGCAGGAAGCAAAGCATGCTGGGATGACTCACACATGGCCATACCAGACTGAGAATGTCTGCTGGAAACCTCCATTATATCCTGCTTCCCAAGACACATTGGCCAAAGTGGAGAACGCAGCCACATGGACATTGGTGGGGGCGTGGGGGCTTGTGCCTGCAGAGAGGGAAAGCAATTTTTAAAAGGGCACATTAGTCACCGAGTTGCCCTGCTGTGGTACACTACATTTATTTTACCTGTCAAACAAACTTATTGTGAGCTGAGTTGGGCCCAGTAATGTAAAATTTTACCTGCATAGTAAATACTACCAGTAAAATGGCTCAATGTATTTTTTTTGCATTGTTTGCATTGTTTACTTGTTATACTTGAGCCAAAAAAACAGGAAAATAATTTGGAGCCAGTGGGATGCAGCCATTGTATTCTGCTGATTTGACTGGCTTACATCCATAAATGAGGGACAGTGGTCAGCAAGAACAAAGGCAAACAAGATCAATGACTGCTCTTGGAATTTGACAAGTTATAACTAATTACTGAGCGAAACAGTTCAGAAGTGTGTCATTTTGTTGCTCTGTATTATATCGTTTAAAGAAAAAGTTCCCCTGCGTCTTTTGTAAGGACGTGTGAGAATTGCAACTATAAGCTCCGAATTGAAAAACAGCAATGAAATGAGTTGAGGTTAGCATTCACACAGTATTTTCTTCAGAAAATGCATTTTCTAGTTATTAATTATAGATTTCAACCAACAGTTCAAGAATCTCTAACACATAACAAAATGCTACTTTCTAAGCTAGTTAGCTACAGTTAGCTAGTAACTTAGCATTTAGTATTCTAATAATGAGTTAGATCAACCCTCCCTCCCCACTACCATCAATTTAATTAAATGTAGTCAGTTCTGGCTCTAAATAACCATTTTTAGTCTTTTCCTTCAGAGTTGCTACAATATTGCCAACTAATCTTAATCTGCAACATAAAATTAAAAGTTTGGCAGTAAGAAATTAGAAGCTGCTGGGGAAAGTGCCTTGGTCTACAGCTAACACTATAGTTGCTAAAGAAAGAGAATTTGATATTTGTACGTGTGTGTCTACATATCTATATGTGTTTGTGCATTTATGTATTCAGGTACCTATGACTTGGACGTGCGTGCTGGCAGTGATGCTCGTGGCAACATTGGTGGCGACACACTCCCACTCCCCATGGTCCTCCTTTGTGAGTGACTTCAACTGTAAGCTGCCTCGGGGCAGAACATTGTGCTTGCTTTTACTGGGCTTCCCTACCTGCAATCCACCCGGAGCATGGAAAGATAGAGCCAGCCAATGCAAAAGATAAAGAAAACAGTGCATTGGCATGTGTCATACAAAATGTACACTTTAAAAAAACAAAAAAAAAAACCAACCAGTAGTTTAACAGCTACTAAAAAGCCCAACCTACCATCTGACATCTGCAACAATACAAAATGATAAAATGTGTGTTCAGTAAATGAGAGACAGAAACAATAGCTAATCATACAGTAGTCAGTAAGCAGGATTAAACACACCCCATGATTAAGAAAACAATTGAGAGAATCTAATATGTTCCCTGATTGCATTTTTTATAGACATCATTAAAATGTGATTAAAAATGCTACAATGACATACAGTACAGTGCAATTAAAACCGGAGCATCCACTACAGACAGTGGTTTTAGAAATGAAGGTTCCTCAGTGGAAAACAGTGAATGTGACATAACACAACAAGAAGCACCGACTAATGAGCTGCCTTACACATGAGATTCAGTGGACAGGCTGTGCACATGTAGGGAGGATGTATGATGTGCAAGGGGTTTTACCTTCCTCCATGTGATGTTGGGAAAAGGGTCTCCCTCTGCTTCACAGGGGATGACCAGTTCTCTTCCAGCCTCCTGCCTGTACACCCCTCCAGGAACCACTGAGAATTTGGGAGGGTCCTGCCCAGAAAGAAATTGAGAAGAGCTGTCTTCACTGAAGAGTACACATCAGTGAAGTTGCATTTAATCCTGGAGACAGTTGGATGCTTGTGCCCTTCGTATTCAGGGTGAGATTTATTGAACTGGGCAAATTAACATCATGTTGCAGTTGTCAAAAAAG